GTGTTAGTGCAGCATATCAACCACTGCCTGTTGAATCAACTCTGATGGAATTTTAGTTTCTCTTGGGACATTTAGCATGTGTCTACCACGATAGGTAGGTGGACAGGAAGAACAGCCTGAGACCACATAAAAGCAACAGCAGTTTCTAAAATTGTTTTGACTGTGAAGCAGATGAGATACAAGAGGGTTATGGGTAAGAACTGAAATGTATATTGTACCCACCAGGAATCAGAGAAAATGGTTTATACCATATAAGCCTACCATGTGTGCTGATTGCTTACTGTCTTCCTTATTTCCCTGCCCCCGTAGTCCTTTTTGTTTTTAATAAAACATTCTAAGTTTTATGAAAGACGACTGTTACAGCTTTTATCAGTTATGGTACAATTTAAGGAATATATTTGCTCTTTCTTCTAGTATTCTCAGGATACGTTGTATGAGTCATTATTCTGTTACTTCTCTTTTATGCCTGGTAGGCAAAGGCAGCCACTCAAAGCATGTCTTGACATTATTTTCTCTAAGAGCAAAAAGCATTTCATACATCTTGCAGCTGTGCTCCAAATAAAAATGCATAATTTTGAAATATGCATTTATTTTTATTTTTACAGAAATTGTCACTCTCTATGACTTGTCTTCCTACTTAAGAAATTTTAATTAATCAAGCTGTAATGAAAGACCTTCTCTCACTGGGAGGCTATTCTGGTGTCCAACATATTCCACAACTGTGTTTTCCCAGATCCTCTTTAGATGTGCTTGTTTGTAACCCTTCACAGACAACGTGGTTCCAAACACTACCCTAAATATTCATCATCATCCCTCTTGCTTCTAAGTATTTTCAAGTTATCATCACGTGCTCTTTGTAGCCACTACTTCCCTAAGCTGGAGTTTAAGTTTGTATACGGTAATGTAAGTGTAGGAGGTATTTGGTGAACTGCTATGTATGGAGACCAAATATACAGCCAGCCATTAACTTTCTGTTTATATATGTTATAAAAACCCTGTAATTTACAAATGGTAGAATCTTAAGCATACAAACCTAATTTTCATCAAACTAGCACCTTCCATTTGTAGGTAACTTAGCTGTATATCTGATACGTAAGAACAGAGGCCGTATATCCTTCTAAGCAATACAATGAAAATCACTATGCAAAATTCCTCTCACTTTTATTTCATTTTACTTGCAAGGCAAGGACATCACTGAAATCAGTTCTGGGACTCCAAGACAATTTCACCTGTATCCTTATCGTAGCAGCACCTTTTGGATCTAGTGCAAACATGAGAGGTATCTGTTCTCACCACACTTTTTCCCAGCAGTCAATCTGTGATTAATATTGTTCAGCCTTTTGTCTCTTGCTTGTATTGGAAAGGATGATAAAACGTGGGAAAACTCTGGAGGCAGGTATTTCAGATAGCTCTGGATTAGAGATATGATCTGCATAAACCCTGCTGTAAATAAAAGCCTACTGACAGTGAAACCCTTACCAAATGCACATGCCTTTCGAGAAACAAAGTAATCAGTATTTTTTCACATATGGCAAACATATTCCAGAGAAGCAATACAAGTAGCAACAGAAAGAAAGAACAGAAAGAATAAGCCAAACAAACAAACAAAAAAACCCCTCTTCAGCAATTCTAGGCCATTCTTGCCCAAGTTAACCCAGAGGAAGTAAGAGGACACAAGAGCATTTACAATAGTGACTGCATAAGCAATTCCCTTAATGGGAGCTTACCGTTACTAGCATACTTTTGCAGTGAAAGAATTTCATTCTGCTATATACTGCTACAGAATCAGGGTGCTACCAGTCATTAGTTGTAGCTGGTTTGGGGGATTAAAACCAAAAGTTCTTATATTTCATAATAATTTCATCGCATGATGTTTGTTTAAAAAAAATGAACAGTAGTGTTAATCAGAATTAACTGCAGGAGCACTTCTGTGATCTATAGATTTGGTAATTTTCAAGATAGAACTAAAAATACAGCAATAATTGTACCCGTTAATCTACTGAGAACGCTCTCATTTATCAGTTTGATCTGGTATTGAAAAGAGAAAGCTACTTTGCCTGTAACCATATACCTAAACCAGTTCTCTATTTGCAACTGGATTTTCACTGCTTTCCCGATGACCTCGGGAAGTACAACCGATTTCAGTATACAATCGGTTTTGGTCACTTTGCTTTACACCTCAGCCAAACGTTTGTAAACAAAATTGTGACTTTTTAGACCACCCTTGGAGACTGCTACAGTGGCTGAAAAGGAGAGGCCAGGTCCTTTTTTGAAAACTGAGCAATTACGAATCCAAAATCAAGCAATAAACTTTCTTGATTAGCAATAGCTGCAATCTATCCTACACCTTTATTTTTAGGAACAATCATGTCGATATTATGACATTCCACAACGTACTATTTCATTATCATACTAAAACAATAATCACATTAGCAAGGTTCCTGTCTCCTTTCCTCGCATCAAGAGCTACACGCAGATATCCCTTTTAATTGCTTCCAGAGAAACGTCTGGTCCTGCCAATGCAATTGTAACAGACCACAGTGCATCTCTGGGTATACCTGACCACCGCATACAGCTTGAATAGACTTGGTTTTGGGAAGTCAACAAACCACTTCAGCCTGAACCATTACTGAAACAGTCTGGATTCACAAACAACTGTAATTGTCACACTGCAAGCAGAAGAAGGACTATAAGCTTACAAAAATCTGCTAGAATCAGCCACTTCTGAAAGTTGTATTGTATGTGTGATAAGTATTAGTAAGAATATGGTTCAAGACATCAGACACTGCCCACAGAAAGCAAATACTTAATGGTTTAGATTGAATAAGAAGAAAACCCATTAGATCTGGACAGATAAGGACACCCAGAAAAATTAAGATAAAAGGTAGTCTATTTAACAGAGGCCAGCCTAACCACCGTAACATAAACCAGAACCAGCTTTGGTGGAAACTTTTGTTTGATAAAGCTGAACATTTTTCAAGTCTAGCTATCTAAAGTTTTCATTGGTTGTTGACTGTACTGGTTCTGTAGAAGCATCACTTACAGTCCTTCATTTCTTGAGTCTGATACTTTCTCTTTGGGGTCTCAAAGACTCAATCTCTGCATTATTATATTGTGAAAGATAGAACATGTTTTCTGGGGCTGACTGCAGTGTAAGATTCTCACTGATAATCTGCTGGCTTCAAGGGAAGTCTGCGTGCTAGCTTTAGCAAGACCTGGAACAGCAGTAGTTTAGCTTTTAGAAGAACAAAAGAAAAGCAACACTGGAACAGATCAAATATCCATCTCTGACAGCAACCAACAGAAAAGAGCGTAAGTACAGAAAGGCATAGATACTCTCCCAACTGTGGCTGCAGCACTTCCTGCAGAGGTGGCACCTCAGGTATATAATGGTCCTCAACAGATTTTTTCAGATTAATTTGTCGAGTCCTTTTCTGAATTCATACACATTTCAGCATACGCTGTATCCTGTGCCAAGGAGTTCTGTAGCCTAATTGTGGACTTCATGAAATGCAGCATTGTTTTGCTTGTGCTGAATCTACCAGGTGTTAACTTATTTTGATAGCTGTTAGTTCATGTTCTTCAGCAGATAAAACAGTTGCTCCCTATCTATTTTCTCCATTTCACTTGCACTTTTATAAACCTTTACTTTATTCTTCCCTAACCATAACCTGCAAATCATCTCTCTTCTAGGCTGAAGAGTCCTCTCTGTGTATCTAGTCACTGATCCTGTGTTGTAACTAACTGAATTGTTCAGTTGCTTGAAAACAAGAAAAACACAAACGTCCAGACTGGTTTTTACTGCATCACTGGCTTGTAACTCACCTTTAGATTACTCCAGCTAATGTCAGCCTCAATGTGAATTAAGTTAAGTCAGAGTAGAGCCAAATTAAAACCGAAGTTGGTAACTTATTTAAAAGGATAAACAGATTTGAACAAAGGATAAATTAATTTAAACATATCTCCACTAGAATTCTGAGCTAATCGATTTAGATTTTTTTTTTAATACAAAGGAAAAGTGAAGCAGGAAGTGTATCTGTCTTCATCACTTCAATATCCACCAGGGATATGGAGCTACGACTGTCATTTGCAGTTTGACAACCACAGGAAACTCTGCCTGTAAAGAACCATGTTCAAAGGAGGAATGTAATAGCATGATTTCATCTCACGCAGATAAAATTCAGACCCTGTGCACATCACCTTTGCAGTTCTGTTGCAAGTCGGACATCCGTTTAAAGATGCCTTCACAAGAGCAGAAGCTATGACACATCTGCCTCTGTGGGAAATTACAGAAGTTTGCCAGTTTAGAGTCAGTTACAGAAAGTTAATCAGGCAAGAAACTAAGTTGTGTTCCAGGAAAACGCAGCATGCGATAGACTAGGCTGACATATGCCAAGTAGGAAGGTAAGCCCTGTACCTCTTGGGGCGGTCAGTAGAAGCAGCAAATATTTCACATATGAATTATCAGATCAGGTGGAAAAAGGTGCATATGAAAAGGCGGTTATAGTGAAGAAGGGAAAAAAAAAATCTCAGAGAAGATGGAACTCCCTAGTGATTACGATGGAACTGATACAAAATTTACCATGCCAATCACCTGTTGGAGATATTGTGCAGCTGGCAGATTAAGTGGTAAGTGCTGATACAAAACCATAGAAACATGTTTTACTTGCCTTTATGGTTGCACAAACTAAATAAGACTTACTGAGCTAAATTAATGCTCTCCTAACAGGTCTTTTCGGTATACTACCCATAACCTGCACAAGCTCCTAGCTCTACTTGGGAAATTTAAAATGTACTTATCCCTAAATGAACTTCTCAATCATGATTTCAGCCACTTCAAAACAGCAGCAAGGGATAAGTTTGAAATCCAACATTGCTATCATTTTCTAGGACCACCGACACAAAGATGATAAAGGAGTTCAGTAATGCTATGCTCATTCATTAACATGTCTGGAAAGCCACTTAATAAGAAACAAATCTAACGTAACAGGAGCACTAACCAGCGACTGTCGGAACAGGAAACACTTCTTTGGGTCAATACCACAGGCAAGGACGGCAGCAGTGGTGTCCAGTATGTTCTGGCGCAGGACAGCTGGCTCCTTGGGCATGGTGAGAGAGTGCATGTCCATAATGCTATACAGCACGGAGCTGCACTCTTCCTGCAGATTCACCCAGTTCTGAATGGCTCCAAGGTAGTTACCCAGATGAGGCGTCCCAGTTGGCTGAATACCAGAGAAAATCCGATCCACGACCATATTCTGTTACAAAGCATTGGTAAAATTAACACATGCATTTTTTTTGACAGATTCTTTTCTATTTTAAAGTAATTAATAAAGCCTCACTTATGCCTGTCTCTTCTCTCCTTCTGTCAATGTATTAATGTATAAATTACCTCAGGATTGACTAAAAATAATTGCAGTAAGTCAGTCAAAATACTCTATCTTACTGCAGAGAGACTGACAACTAGCATTAATTTTAAACTGTCAGACTGCATATGCAAACAAACATAGCTGTAAACAAGATCAGTGAAAACTAGATCTCAGAAACCAAGTGGTAGATTCTTTCATCCTTTTTTGCGCTGAAGCTGTATGTTTCTCTTTAGTACATTATCCACTCTGATACAGAAACTTAGGATCACAGCATAGAGAAATTCAAACATTTTTGTTGTAAACATATGCAATATCCAAGTAGATTGCCATCTTAACTCCCATGAACATTGAAGTCTTATTTTTCTAGCTGCAAAGAGCATTTTGAGTGGTTCCTGAAAGAAACCTAGTCCTTGACCCAAAGGTCAAAGAATAATGGAAGAAATTATCGAAGTTCTGAAACTATCCATCTTGGCAGCAATAGAGTTTCCAAAAGGGCTCTACAAAGAAATACTGCTATAGCTCAAGATCACACCTGGAATATTGTGGATGCATCAGTACCAGTAAAATGTCAACATCTGAAGGGAGTTCACAGAGAAGCAGCAAAAAATTATTAAGAAGCTGAGGTTCTGAGCAAAGATTAAAAAGCTTAAAACATGTATAGCTTGGCTAAGTGACGGTTACCATCTTGGAAAGTTTGTTTTCCTGCATCCCAGCCCTCCATCCGACCATTTTCTCACTGCCCCAAGCTGTCAGCGTATGATCAATTACCTCCCCCACCTTTCCAAAGAATTCCACTGTATTCAGAAAGTAACTCAGCAATATTTTATGTGAAAATGCTTGTTATGTGCCAAGTTGTAAGAGCATACAAGACTGCTCAACTTATAAATGAGGGTCCCACCAACCTCAGCAGGGAGTCCCAGTCACAAAGCTGCACAATACAAACCCTCAGACTCTGTTGTATGGCAGGAACATCAGCTTCATTATGCCTCTGGCTGCATGATTTTTTTCATGCTAAATTTTATAAGCAACATCTATAACAAAGTAGAGAGAATTCATTTACTGCTGTAGTCCGTTTTCATTTCTGTGAATCTCTTACAAATGTACGGATGAGAAAAAAAATAATGAAGTCATACAACTATGAAACCACACAAAATGGCAGTAAAAGTCAAGGCCAAGTATCATTACTTTTAACTATTAAAAAAAGAGACTTCAAATTGACTTAATTAATTTTGACTCAGACTCAAGAAAAATTAATGAGAAAGTGTTTCCAAGTGGAATAGGACTTTTTTTTTTTTAACATGATCTATAGTTCAGAAAAGCCTAGCCCATTTCCTTCAAAATCTGCTGAAAAATTCTCTTTGCTTTCAAAGTAAGCCTGTTTTTCAGATCAAGACCATTTTCTCATCCAATGTTTAAGTGTTTGCACTGACAGGTAAGAGCAGGTTTGGGCTAGCAGCATGCTAATTTCTCCTGCTCACATAAATGCCTACACATTTAAGTCCAGGCAGTAACCCCCTCACCCCATCCCAAATATCTGCTTGACTTCTAGGTATATTCTTGAGTCAGTTCCTCAGTGCTCTTGGAACCAGCACAGGAGCTGCAAGGTAGTCACTGCAATGAAAAGCACACCATTTCCTCCAAGAGCAATTCTAACTTCCAATTCTCGTGCTCCAGTTCTTGACCATCCATGCCTCTTTTCTCCATTACACAAAAATGGAATTATGCTACTCAATTCCTTGTCTGCCATTTGATCCCTTGTTTTTCTAGGAACCTATATCAGAGCATTCATCACCACTTGCAGAAGCCCCTCACCTCCCACTAAGCTACTACCTGGCCCAAGGACTGCAGCCAGCTTTTTGTTAACACTGAGAAGGGCCAGGTGCTCACCTAGAGAAGGAGGCATACAGAATCCCAGCATACATAAATTAAATGAAGTCTTATAGAAACTCAGGATTCTCTAGGCTTCAGAGCTGTGCTTCTATTGTTAAGGGCGTAGAGCAGTTGCTAGGCAATGCAACAGGTACTTCACAGGCATAACATGTGTCTTTTGCGTCCCATGTTCCTGCTCTTCACCCAGAGAATAAGAGCTCAAGAAGAAAACAAGGCTATAAATAGATGATCACTAAGACGGTGTTCTGTCCCTACAGGGATCCCAGAACAGCTGATTCTTTGTCAGAGCACATTTCTTCTTCTCCTCTCCCTGTCTCCCCTCACTCAGTTCAAATCCTGATGCTCCTTCCCACAATTATTTCTCCCCACAGTGCTTCCTGCTTTCCACTGCCCGTTTATACACCTGTTTAACCACACTTTTCTACACAGGCTATGGCTTCTTACAGCCCTACTCTCCATTTTCTTATCAGATAGTTTCATCCCTCCCATGTTCCTGTATTCTTTTCTTCCTCCACTTATGCTTCCCCACCCCCTGCTTCCCAGAAGAGCTCTTGCATGGTATATCAAGACAGTAAAGAGGCACAGAGTATGCCATATGGTAAGGAAGCTATTACTGCCTTGACTCCAGTGACTTTATATAAAATATGTTTCCTACCTGCACTGTTAGAATAGCTAAGAAACTTCATGATGCTCTAGAAATCCACTATGGATGCGCATCAAATAAAGTATGTTAGGATGACCACATTAAAGCATGGTGCAGAAACTTGCACATCTTTCAACTGCAGTCTAGACAAAGACAGCATCACCTGGAATGTCTCCTGATGTTACTGCTTCTTTTCCCTGGGACCCTGAAGCTAGTGCTACTTCAGTGCAGAAACAGCTCTACCCCCTGGGGTAACTGCCTGTTAAGTGGGAATCTCTGTGCAGTCAGCACAGATAAGCTCACATGCCAATACCTTGACCCAAAAAGAGCTGGCACCCTGAACCTGTGGAGAACAGTTCTGCCTACAAACCTTGTTGGTCCCCAAGTCACGCAGACTCCATTCCCCTGCAGCCACAGTCCCTGCTTCATATGCTTCCAAGACATGTTCATGATCTGCCTTTTCCTCCTTCCCAGATCACTGTAGATTAAGTCACTATGAACATATCTAATGTACTGGCAAAATTATGTCCCCTAATTTGAGAATCATACACACAAATAAATGGTACAAATGCAATTTAGGCAGGTAGTGTGAGAACATTTTTCACCAAGAAAATACAAGATATCAGTGTTTCAACATACACTATACATTCAAATTCTGTACTAACTCCAAATATTTGAAGGGTAACACTGAGCTAATTAAAGATACGTTTATTGTAACACTACATAAGTTAGCATCTGTTTACACACTACATGTTGGAAAGAAAACACCCAAGTGCAATGTAAAATGGACATAGTTTCATATAAAGAGATAACAAAGTTCTCTGTCTATCCAGTGAAGAGTATACCTGTGAAAGCAAGCATGGAATCTTTAATGGTGTTTGTACGTTCAAACGGTAAACAACTACTTATAAAAGGTTTGTTCAGTATATGGGCCATACATATCAAGTTAAACATGAGAAACAAACAGTAGCAGTATTATACTGAGTCTAAGGCTCAGCAATTACTTAAGTATGGAATTTGCAGAAACAAGTAAATCCAATAAGGAAAACTGAGCTAGGCTGGACCTGGGTAAAGCACTAGCAAGTACATTACAAAGAACAAATGCACACAGGCTCCCAGCTGAGGGACCAGTTGACTAGAAGTCTTTCATCTTTAACTCCTTTGATTCCATTTAACAACACAAAGCACGAGATGTTACAGCAAGTAGGGTGGTATGAAATATTCCATTGCGTTAGCAGAAGTCTATATTAAAAAAAGCCCACACAAAACACCCGTAAATGAATCTTGGATTTCTAGCACTAAAAATATACAGAGAACATTACTCCTTTGGAGAGAGTTTATGTTCCCTGTTTGTTCACTCTGTGAGAAGCAGCGGGCAGCATAGCAGCGTGGCAGGGGAGTTCTGCCTGGTACCATGAAATCATGGGGCTGGAATGCACTTCAATGGTCAGGGGATGGGAGCTGTGTGCTCGAAAGTACTGGAGTTGGAAAAGGATAAAAACAAAAGGAGTGAAGACTTCCCAATGGAGCAGAGTGAAAGCCACAAGACATGCAGCTCCAGCCCACAGGCACTCACTCATTCAGACATCTGTAGTAAGCACAGTGTGAGCCTGCTGTTTGTATGTTTAACTCTGTGTGGTGTGTGCACCTACACCAGTAGTGCTGCATGTTAACCTTCACTCCTGTTAAGAGTGTAGTATCTGACAGATGTTTTAACATCTATTATTAGTTTTCTCTCAATAAGACTTCTACATGGCAATTCCAAACATCACAATGCATTTCTCAGCAGCATTTTAAATGAGGCTTGGCCCAAAACCCATTAAGATTCAGGTGTTCTCTTACCTAACCTCCTTTTTCATGATGAGATGAACAACTGCTGCTCCTTATACTCAAAAACTGTCAACATCCAAATGCTCTCAAATAATCAGGAATAAACATTACATTCTTTTCCCAGAGCAGGATGGCTAAAGTCTGGCCCCAACACCCTGCACTATGGCCACATCCATTTTCAATGCAAAAGAGTATACTGGAAAAGATGATAGCTTCCAAAATCCAATGCTGCTCTCTTGGACTCAAGCAAAGCTTATGTCATATGCCACACCTGCAGTAAGGAGAGCTACAATTGTCAAGGCCTCAATTCAGCAGTCAAAACCACACTCATTCCCTGCTCATGAGACAAATGTGCCAGAACTGGAGAAGACACCGAAGTTACGAGAGTTAAGGAAATCCTATCTGCGTGTCTCCTAAAGACCATCACAAACAGCTTTATTTTTAAAAGGAAAGAAGGTGTTAACAGCATGCTTGTCTAATTGAAAGAATTTTATGAAGAATATTAGTAAAGTCAACTTGATGCTGT